AGAGTTTTACTTATAGCAGTAGTCTTAAATCCCATAAGAGGATCCACACAGGAGAGAAGCCGTATAAGTGTGTGGAATGTGGAAAGAGCTTCACCTGTAGCAGTAATCTTTATAACCACAAGAGGACCCACACAGTAGAGAAGCCATACAAATGTGTGGAATGTGGAAAGAAGTTCACTTTTCATTATTCTCTTATGATACATCAAAGGAGTCACACAGGAGAAAGACCTTATAAATGCATGGAGTGTGGAAAGAGCTTTAGTTGCAGCAGACATCTTCATTACCACAAAAAGATCCACTCAGGAGAGAAGCCACATAAATGTGTAGAATGTGGAAAGGGCTTTAGGTGGAATTGTGCTCTTGCTGCCCATAAAAGGACCCACACAGGGGAAAGACCATATCAATGCATAGAGTGTGGAAAGACCTTTACTTGTGGCAGTAATCTTTATTACCACAAGAGGGTTCACACGAAAGAGAAACCATATCAATGTGAGGAATGTGGAAAGATCTTTACTCATAGCAGTAGTCTTCATAGCCACAAGAGGATCCACACAGGAGAGAAGCCGTATCAGTGCATGGAGTGTGGACAGAGTTTTACTTATAGCAGTAGTCTTAATCTCCACAAAAGGATCCACACAGGAGAGAAATCATGTCAGTGCATAGAGTGTGGAAAGACCTTTTATAATAATGACTCTCTTACAAGACATCCAAGGAGTCACAAATTAGAAAATCCTTATAAATGCATGGAATGTGGAAACAGCTTCACTTGTAGCAGTAATCTTAATACCCACAAGAGGATCCACACAGGAGAGAAGCCATATCAATGCATGGAGTGTGGACAGAGCTTTAGTAGGAAATACGCTCTTACCACACATAAAAGGATCCACCCAGGGAAAAAACCATATCAATAAAGGGAAGTGTGAGAAGTGGTTTCACAGAAATCCGTGTTGTCCTATGTGTATGACTGCGATTGAGCCCAAAATTTCTGTTGCTAAGTAAGACAGTTATTGAGTTTTCCCCACTTTATGACCTTTTTCTGCCCCATGTGAATCGCTTTTGGTAAATTAGTTAGTCTGTGGTGAAATGAATCTGGCTTCCCTATTGACTTGGCTTGTCAGAAAGTCACAAAAGGGGATCACATGTCCCGGGAACGCCTCAACTCTCATAAATATGGGTCTGTGGCCAAGCCACAGACAGAAATTTGATCAAATGACTGAGGGGATGCTGCAACAGCAAAGACCTTTGCTTGTGGCATTAGTCTTAATTTCCACAAGAGGATCCACACAGGAGAGAAGCCATACAAATGTGTGGAATGTGGACAGAGTTTTCCTTACAGCAGTAGTCTTAATCTCCACAAAAGGACCCACACAGGAGAGAAACCGTATAAGTGTGTGGAATGTGGAAAGAGCTTCACCTGTAGCAGTAATTTTAAATCTCTAAAAATTCTTTTTAATGCATTAAAAATAACACCCCACACAGTCTTCTGACTGAGGTTTGCTGTTTTTTGCCATTTTCCAACAATTCCTTCAGGTTTCCGGTTAAAAATGCCCATTGGTGAAAATGGACTTGTTTAACAACCAGTGTTTGCTTAATGACCACAAGGTTTTACTTAAGAACCATGGTATTTGCCTAACCCAGGGGTCTGCAACCTTAAACAGTCAAAGTGGCATTTTTCTATTTTTTTTTAAACTGGTATCTCTTTCTTTCTCCTCCTCACTCTCTCTTTCTCTTCCCCCCCTCTCTGTTTCTCATTTCTCTTTCTCTCTCTCACCTATAACTGCTAAGATTGGAAGCTGTTTTTTTATAATCCTATTTCTTTGTAGTTTTTCTCACACACATTTGTGTATATGTATCCAATACTCTTCCTTTCCGCTATGTATTCATAATGGGCAATTATTATTTTTTTGTGTAACATGTACATATGTGTGTTATGTATCTGTATGGATATGTATATATATTTTGCTTTTAATGTTTGTCAGTGTAATTACAGTTAAAAAATGACAATAAAAGTTATCTTATCCCATCTTCCTTCTTTCCTTTCCAACCCCATTCCTCCCCACACCCTATTTTGTATTGGCTTCCCAGCCAGGTACTTACCAGGTCTGATCCTGTTTAGCTTTCTAAAATCAGCCTACTGAAATAAATAACCAAACTAAACTACCCAATAATTTAGCTACCATCACTATCTTACACCTGATTTCAATGTAAACAGCCAATCTGCAGTATTACTAAATTTTGCTAGGCATCTGCTGCATGTTACTCTCTTCCTTGATAATCTAGTCCAGAAAAAGTCCAGAAACTTGGCAACTTGAAGACTTGTGGACTTCAACTCCCAGAATTCTCCAGCCAGCTATGGGAGTTGAAGGCCACAAGTCTTAAAGTTGCCAAATTTGGAGACAAAGTAGTAGAAAATGCAGGCCATGTAGAAGTCAAGATTGATTACAGGCTATCAAGTCATTTCCATTGCCAGCTACCACAGTAGAAGGATAAGTTCATAATAGTGATCTGTTTTTCCTTAAGTGACTCTTTGAGGTATTTGCTTATTGACATAAGATAAAATGAAACCAAAATTGCAGCTGTAGAAACATAAATTAGAAAGACTTTCAACGGATGCATGCATCCCACGCCCCCAATGTCCGTAGCAGACCAGTGACTCATTTTATTAGCAGATCTTCCCTTTCTTTCTCTGGCTGACCTGCCGAAATCTTCCCAAAGGCCCTTCCTGCACAAACAACCCCCTGTACACTCGCTCTACCCTGCGTTACTGAGACAGAGAGCTGCTGTAGCTCGGGGCCCAAGCCTTCCAAGCAGCAGCCAGGACCGGGAACCGGAGCTCTGCTTTCCCCAAAGGCTGACAAACTTCAGGTCCAACCTCGGGGCCACCGTCTCACACCGGGCTGCCTCTGCCCGCATGTTGCTGCGGGTTTCCCCCACGGAGAGGGCTGGCTCACCCCATTCAGAGGCCAAGAGCACAGCACCGGTTTGCGGGTGCTTCTCCCGGGGTGAGGGTTCGGCTCAGCACCACTCCTAAAGCCAGCAGTGGGTCTGCAGAGCAGGGAGCGGATGCCTGGCCGGACGGAGCAGCTCAGCATGGAGAAAAGTTGTGCATCTCCCCATATTGCTTTGTCCTTGAGCACCCTCAT